AAAAAGAATGAAATCTTGCCATTTACAACAACGTGGACGGAACCAGAATGTATTATGCTAAGTGAAATTAGTCAGAGAAAGACAAATATCATATGACTTCACTCATATGAGGAATTTAAGAGACAAAACAGATAAACATAAGGGAAGGGAAGCAAAAATAACATAAAAACAGGGAGGGGGACAAAACAGAAGAGACTCTTAAATATAGACAACAAACTGAGGGTTGCTGGAGGGGTTGTGGGTGGGGGATGGGCTAAATGTGTAAGGGGCATTAAAGAGGACACTTGTTGGGATGAGCACGGGGTGTTATACGTAGGGGATGAATCCCTGGATTCTACTCTTGAAATCATTATTGCACTATCTGCTAACTAACTTGGATGTAAATTAAAAAATAAAAAATAAATGTAATTTAATTTAATTTAATAAAACCTAAGCACTAGCATATTCTAAAAGCCACTTGGTGTTATCTGTATTCTTCCAAGTATGCTGTATTTTCTAAAACACAGCAGCCTTCACAGACTCCTATCATGATTTCGAGTGCTTTACTAGACCCTCTTTCCCAACAACTACCGTACAGTCACTAGAGAAAGTCACTCATGTGCTGGTAAAGGTTTAACAGTTAACTCTTTGAAGGGAAAAAGACAAAGGAAGGATCTGATCTTTGCCAATTTCTGTGGTGTAAATACTCCTGCCTTGGCCGATTTCAAGCCACCAAGGTGAAGGCACTCAGTGCAAACTTGGAAAGAAATGTTGATACGAGCCAGCCCCGGCACACTGCTGCTCTAAGACGTACAACACCCATCCTGGCTTCCTATGGACACAAGCTTGAGATGGATACCTACCCCTTTCAAAAGAATTTTTTATGTCGTTGACTTCAACCTGAGATCCTGGCACTCGGAAGATCCCTTGCTGCTGGAGTCCTAAAAGAAAGGAACAAATAAACACAAAATGCCATGATGCCTTGGGCTCATCAGACCACTTGGGAACATTGATGATCCTTCCATTGCTTGTCTCTTTCTCCCACCATTCTTTTTCAAGAGTCATTCCCAATAAAGATCTCCTGGCAGAAGCCCAAAAGGGGACTTTGCAATGAACTTCAGCCGGCCAAAATACTCTGAGGCATCTTGCTTCATATGTTATCTCTTATCAGGGCTTGAAGGAAAAGGCCACAAGACGTTTATATCAACCCAGGACCAGTGAGTAACTTCCAATTTAGCCAACAGGCACTTTGCCTACCAAGTTCATCAGGTACACTGGGATCAAGTAGCTTGGCCTGAGTTTACAGCTGCCATTTCAGTGTAACAGCCACAGAGATTTTGAACAGGAATGATCAGTATCACTCACTCAACCATTCCCACCCCCCACCGGCAGAGACATCTTCTTCCTTTCAGAAAAGCTAGAGTCGAGAGTACATGCTGGCCTGGCATCAACGAGTTTGGGGAACATTAAATCATTAAAGAAAAACAGTCTCTTTTTTTAATGTGTTTCTATAAGGCTATAACAAAGAGGAGACCCTGATACCCGACATAATAGTAATGACATAGGATTGTAATAGGACTGAACAGTCATCTATGGAATTGAAGGGATTAAAGGGGCCTCTCTCGTCTTAGGTGGGAAGTAATGGGGTGACTGTGATCTTTTCCCTCACATTCAGTTTTTCTATATAAAACAACTCTTTGCATTATAATTTAGGAAAGTGTTTACCTCTTAAAGGCAGGCTTTAAACCAAGTTTGGTCTGTACATAGTACGTGCTCAATAAAAGCTGGTTTATGTCTTTCCTTAGCCAATATCAAATTTCTACCACCTGTGTCTTTTATCCCATCCTCCTAGCTCCTTCCTATTCAGTCACACTTGTCTTCCTTCTTACACGAGACCTTTATACTTGCCACGCTCTCCACTGGAGATTGCATGGCTGGCTTCTTGTACTCAAATATCATCCCCTCAGACATGTTTCTCCTTACCTCCTTCGCCAAAGCAGCCCTGCTGCCCTCCAGCCATTCTATATCCCCTTTTAATTAGTCTCTAGGCATTGCCACTACCTGAAATTGTATTATTTATCTACTTATTTCCTTGCCCTTCTAATTGGTAACATAAGCTACCTAAGGTCCGCACCTCCCCTGTCTTAGGCATTCAATGCCTGTATTCCTCCCCATTGTCAGAACAGTGCCTGCTCCGCACTCTGAAAATACAGTTTTCGAGAGGTGAATGAATGAATAGATGGAGGTGCAAAGAGGCACAGGGGATACCATGGTCAGCAAATCCCAGACCCTGTATTTCCTTTATGGAGCTTATTGCAATCAAACTGCTAACTCATTGGTTGGCTACGTTCAGTGCTCGGAGTACAGAGCTCTGACGCGGGGCAGGAGAGGGGAAGGAACTGACATGATCCTCCTACCCATGCCTTCCCTGACCCTCCGTTCTCCTAGATCCTGGGTGTTCTCACCACCACCTTCTGTCCCCAGACATATGAGGCTCAGAAGAGCACTCAGCACAGCAGCTGTGCCAAGAAGCATTTTCTCTCTAGGAAGCAGGGAAGTAACAGGAAGCCTTCCAAGATGAATTAGCGTCTCATTTCCTCTGACAACAGCCCAGCACCTGTTCTGAAGAGGGCTGAGAACACTGCCCCAAGACCGAGCTTACCATATAAATTGATGTACCGGATGCAGCTCTCGACTACAAGTGGTATAGCTTGTCCTGAATCCTTAAGAAAAAAAAAGAAATTGTGAGTTGTACTGGGCATGGCAGCCGGCAGAGGAAAAACGACAATGCAGACACAGATTATAAACTCAAGCCAGAATATTAGTACCATCGGATTAGTAGGAAAATAAGCAAGGAACTGCTAATCCTAAAGTCTCCACAAACAGTTAAAATAGAAAATCTCCAGTTATGTGCAGAAAAGACATAGCTATGATAATTTTAAAGAAATGCTCTGTCTTCTTACTCAGCTGGGAAGAAATCAGGACTCAGGACGTTGACAGGCACATCGGGGAAGGGGAGGGAACCCACCTGACAGATAGGGTTGGAGTTTGCTCTTGAAGAGAGCTCTGCCTTCACTCCACTTTGCCCCACTCAACCCTTATCCTCCCAGTGCTCAAGCACAAAAAGGCAGGATTCAAAGGCCTCCTTCTAGCATGGCAGTATCTAATGCTTGAATTAAGAAGAACACACTATGGGAGGTAAGGATGGCCCCAAGGGTCCTTTTGAGCTCTGAGAAAGGAAGGCCAGGTCTACTCCTGAGGTTACAATCTAAACATCCAGGCAGATGCTTTGTTTAACAATAAACATGTTACGAGGAAAAGTTCTGGAAACAGCTAATGTCAGCCATTGACCATTGAATGGCCAACCTTAGTCAAAAAGGCTGTATAAGACACAGCTCTAAATATACACGTCTATGGGGGAGGTGGTGAATCTACTTCCGATTACATCTTCCTAGATGGGCCCATGGCCACAAAGAGCTGGGCAAGGGGTAGTTTTCTCTTGGATTCCATGATTGGTTGATCTCTCTGTTATTTTGGGTCACTTAAAGAACATAAAGTCATTTTTAAACTGTCTTTAAAAGAGGCCAAATTAAATCACTAGCCTCCTCAGGTGAGGAAACAATAAGGCATATGTAACATGCTCTCGTAAAGGGACAGAAAACACCCACAGATTTCAATGCCTTTGGGGTTCCTCCACACCCCACCTGTGAATTCACACCTTGATTAACTACGGTCAGGGAGAGGATAGAAAAATGGACCCTTTGGCAATAGGCATGGTGAGCCCTGCTCTAGAGGTCAGTACTAAAGACAGGTTCCATTCAGTTGAATGGAGCTAACGGACCTTTCTAGTAAATACCTGGTTCCTGGTTCGAGCATTTCTTCTTCCTCTGATAACAAAAAATAAACAGGCAGCAGAGCAGGAGAAAAAGAAAAGATTATGCAGGAGTAAGATCAGTTAGAGTAAGCAGATCCTTCAGAGTCCGTGAACGCCGAAATGCAATGGCAGCCAGCAACGGTCCTGGGGAGACTGCCAACCAGTCTGCCGATGGGGAGGGCCGCCCATGCACCTCAGGGCCTCGTAGGAGCTCTGCACCCTGCCCCCAGCTAGCCTCCCAGGGTGCCTGCCTCGGACACCAGGTGGCAAAGGGGCCTCTATCAGTCCTTGTCAAGTGCAGGGATGTGTGTACCGAGGTGTGTGCTCAGCCCCTTCTCCTCATCCCATGTTTAGCTTCTCCTCAACACAGGGGCTGTTACTCACCGATGGGCAAGGGCCGACCTAAGACACCTTAAGGTTAGCCCAGCTGCCCACAAAAAGGAGGGCACACACCTTCAGGCGTCTACTGTAACACTGTCCCTGGAAGTCAATTCAGGAAACCTCATTCTTAGTAAAAAGCTAATTGTACCAAGACTGTGTTTATTAGGTGCCCTCTGGATACAACCCGACAGGACTCCACCTGATTCCACATTCGAACAGCTTCCCATGCTTTCCTACCAAACACCCTGGGTACCTTTTCCTGGGTATCCATTGGCTTTGCTCTCCTTCCTACCCCGACCCTCACACTGGCACTGAGAACACCTCAGGGAACCCCAAAGATGAGAAAGGCCTGCGGAAGGGAGGGCAGTAAAGAGTCAAAATGTTGTTATGATCTTGTAGGTAGCACTGGAGCCTTTCCTTTCACTAAAGCCACTGACACCACCCATTTTCAGGGGAGCACGGTCTGTTCGTTCTTCCATATGCACAGCAGTCAGGCTCTGGGGTGGGTGCCACGTCTCATCCAGGCTGCTTGAGAGGCTGACCTGAGAAAGCGGAGGATGGATGCCTTCTAGCTGGTGACATCTGTCCAGTACCCAGCATCTAAACAACTAGAATTATACGTTGGCTAAAACGACCTGAATCCTAGAATGGAGCAAACAGCCTGTCAGATGGGACTGTATGAACAATCTCCTAAAAGCTAATGACAACAACAATGGCTAGTATTTCCATAGTGCATACAGTATGCCAGGAGTACTCTAGAAACATGGCATATATTAGTCCATTTGATTGCGTCACACATGCATGAGGTAGGTAATTAATATTCTCATTTTATAGAAATGGGGTGAGGGCTCTGCCTCCCAAAATTTATAATAAAATTTAAGTGGGCTTCAAAATTTATAATAAAAATTGGGTTTCCTTCTGGCTGAGAGGAACAACAACAACAAAAAAATCAAGGATGTTGAAAAGGATGTTCCGAGGACCCTAGAAATCTATAAACGTATCCATCATTCTTAACCTGGGGATGCTGCCTCGTCCCACTAAAACCCTCATCATCATGGAGTCCCAGGGATGTTATTTTACCAAAAAACCTTTCACAGGTTTGGCATTTCAAAGCTGGGCGTTCTCCAATCATGCAGAATCTTCTTCCAGACGGCACGTGAATCATACGAGAGAACTACACTCCATTCACAAAGGCTGAAGGACTGAATATATCATAACTGCTTTCTCATTCTCTGAAAGTGAATAACCCTTAAGGCGAGCCCCTGCTGCATGTAAGGGCATCTACACACTGCCTAGTCATAGCAGGCACACGGAAGAGTTTGTTGAGCTGCCCTGAGAGTTTGTGGCATAAGCACAGTGTGACTAGGAGGAAATGCAATCGTGTTTAACAAATATACCATTTTTTTTTTTCCAGCCAAATGAGTGTTATTCTTCCAAGTCCCCTGAGGAAGAGGCTGGGCACTTATTCCAACAGTGTGACACAGGCTAAGTGGCTTTTCAGAGCCGGACAGCCAGCCCCTCTATAGCATATGCCTCTTGCCATTTTCTACCTCCAGGGGTGGGGCAGCGCTGAACTGAAGGATGCTTTTCCTTCCAATGACCAGGGCGTCCGTTCTGATACGAAGTTTGGGCACCACCGACGAGGGCCATGCTACAGGCTCTGAGGAACACTGACCAACAGCAGCCCTGACAGTATATTTAGCATAAGAATGTGGTGGCTTCCCAAGGTGACTTCCTCCGGGGGCAAACGTGTGGTTGAAGAAGTTCTGATGTGTTTCTCAGGAGGAAGAAGGTCAAATTAGTTGGCAGTCACACACTGCATGTAGGAGCTCTCTATTAAAAGACTATTTCATTAAACAGAACACCGAATTTTCAAGTCCTGTCGGATAGGAGTCAGTTCCTTCCAAGTGCCCTGACTTATCACCGGTTTCCAAAGAGCTGGGCAAATCCAGGAAGGCGTGCCTGTCTCTGGGCCTTCATTCATGGTGGTCCTCCTTTCAGAGACTTCTGTCCTGCTCCTCTCTGCTTTATTCCTACCCTTTTCTCACCTCCCCCTGCCCCCCTGCCCAGTGCCCCTGCAGAAGTCTCCTGTGTCCTAAGGCTCCCAGTGCTTCTTGCTCTGAGCTCCCATGGAACTTACTTGCAGTAATTCAGAGCGTGCATCCTGAACCACCTTAGCTTTCTGTGCTGAAAATCTCCCGAGCAGCCCTATATGCCCCTTGGAGGCAGGGAGAATAGCTAATGTTCCTTTTGGTCCCCTCTCAGCTATGGGCAGTGGCTCTTCCAAGGGTAAGGGTGGACTGAGAAGAAGTCTTGGTGGAGACAGGAAGGGAGATAAAGAAAGAAGGACTCGATGCAGCTGTGTCTTCCATGACCTGTTGGATGGCAAACTGCTCACTCCAGGTCCCCTCCAAACAGTACCTCTTTCCTGATGCACCCAGGGGCACCCCTCCTTTTTGGATCCTCCGTGCCTCACCTTTAGGTATCCTAAAGCACCCCTTGCTGCTCCCTGCCCCTGGACCGTCCCAAATGGTCCCCTAATGTTCCACTGTCCCCTTCCCTACTGTCCCTTCCCCAGAGCTCAGCCCATAGGCAGAGACAGCTCTGGGACCCAGGCTGGCTCTGCTTACCTGGTCCCATGCCTGCCCCCTCACCCCATCCTGCAGGTCCCGTGCACAGCCTGTCAGGACGGAGGAAAGAGTACACTGAGCAGGGATAGCTTCCATCACTCCTAAATTGTCAGCAAAGCCGAAGAGCATTTAGTTTTCTCCTGCTTGACACCAGCCTTCTTTTCTGCAGAAAGTGTCTTTGCTGGATAACGGAGGGCTCTCAGATAACTGGCAGGGACCTTCTCCCCTGCTCCCCCTAACTAATGTTTCTCAAGCATTTCCCTGCCCCCTGCTTCCCTTTGCAATTCTGTGGCCAGCTTCAGTGTCCTTGAGCCATTCATTCTATCTGGGATGCCTTGGTCCTCTGCCCTTTGCATCCAGGAGGCAAGAAAAGAGAAAGTCACTGAGCTGCAACACTTTCATGTTTAGTTTAGGATGTACAGGGTTAATCTAGAATTCTAAAGGGACTACCCCAGCTCAATGCCTAACAAGAAGCAAAACAAGGTGGGAGAGTTTTCTCTCAAACATTTTATGTGTTTCCTTTGCTGCTATAGTCTCAACCAAAATAACAACAACAACAACAACAACAACAGTAACAACAATAATAATAACAATCAGTTGTATAAAAATACACTCTTATCTGCAGGATTTTCTTTGTGTTGCTTCTAACCAATCGCCTCTTGGGAGGCATGGATGTGAAGTGAGGCAAGGTGGTTTCTCTAACTGTCCCTCAGGCCTAGCTAGGACTGCAGTTCCTGAAGCAGGAAAGCATGGCTGGCGGGGACCACTGCACTGGCATTTCAACCCCACTTGGACTCCATGGGTTTCATCATGATCGATCCCTCCTCTGGGGCTGAGGATCCCGGGAAGGCACTTAGGATCAAATGGTCAGAGACAAAAGTAGTCTGCCTAGAAGCCCTTACTGAAGCTAAGAGCAGGCTTCAGTGAGGAACTAGCTTGCTCCAGGGCTGGGGCCAGGGCACGACTGAAAGTTCTGGTTGGTCGGGGTAGGGCTGTTGGCCAAGGGGAGGAGGTGGAGAAAGGCTGCCATTACATTGGGCACATTCGCGGACTCCGTGGCTCCCCAGCAAGTACCTTAATAAACGCTTCCATACAGCCGTTAAATAGTTTATGGCTACACACTGAGAGAGGCCTAGGTCTCCTCATTTTCTGTGGTTTAGGGGGAAGGCAGGGGGGCCTAGGGAAAATGGAACAAAAGAAATCAAGAAAGCAACCAACGCAAACATACAACTGGGAAAGACGCTCTTTAAAACCCATGGCTGAAGGAGAACACAAAATGCAAATGGAAACCCCTGAACCCTCGGCACATTGGTGTCCAATGCTCCATCTGAAGGCCTTTGGATGTTTAAGGGAATCTTAATTTACCCACAATGTCAGTTAGGAGCAATGCTCGCATAACACAGATGCATTCTAGATCACAGGGGGGAAATAGTATGTATCCAGGAAACCACTGAAACCCCAATCAGAGGCTGTCATCCTGCAAAGCTGACCAGATGGAGGAGGAACCAGGGGACAGAGATGTAATCTGTAGCCTGAGAAAGCAAGACACTTTCAATGATGATTGGAAGGGTTAATTTTCATTATTTTGGCTTAAATTCATCACCGAGTCTCAACTCCCAATGTACCAGGGCACTGATCTTTCTAATGCCTCTTGGCATTTCAAATGCACTTGACTAATCTTTATTTCATTGATCTAAGAGCGAGGCAATTATTATTCTCATTTTAGAGATGAAGATACTGATGCCTGGAGGGAGCCTACAGCTTCTTTGGGGTCCCCAGGTGACCCGAGATAATGATCATATCCTGTTCTTTAGTCAAGTACACTTTTGATTCAAGCGCTTTCAAATCCATTATCACCCTTAACGTCAGCTCAACCCTGCATATACGGCCCCATTTTATAGAGGCAGACTCTGAGGCCCAGGGAGGGGAACTGGCAGAGCCAGGCCCCAAACTCAGGCCTCTATGGCTCCAACGCCAAGATTTTTCCCAACTGGGCCAGTCATGGAGCCTTAGGGCACTTTTTTGTTTCCAGCCAAGGACTCCATCCATCCCATTAACCCTTGCCAGCGGAGGACCCAATGGGTCAGGTTGAAAGTGTCTTGCTTTACTTTAGGATCTCCATTCCCTGTGCTCCACTCTTGGCTACAGGGAGGGGAAACCATACCACAGTTCACCAGCAACAGTGAAACAGCCACAGACACTGGACCAGTTTCCAGAGTTGCTCACCATGCATATACCTGTGTTGGCTTATTTGCTCATCTTTCGCCACCCAAGTTGGCCTGACTCAATGCTGCCAGCCTTCCAGGGCAAAGGGCTTTCTGAGGTTAGGAGAAGGGCCCCTAACCAAGAGAGGCAGTTCATTTTCAAATGGCTTGGTTCACAATTTAGGGAGCAACAAGTGGGGACCCAGCCTGGCACAGCTAATGTCCACACGTGACGAGCAAAGACCTGGTCCCCAAAGTCTTGATTGATTTCTGTGGACGGGTAAGAAATCTTATGGATTGGGGTGCCAATCAAGGTGAAAGAGGTTCATGCTGCCTCTGCTCACTGGCCTCATTGTGTTGTGCCTGTCTTCTTCAGCAGCCCAGCCATCTAGGGGAATCTAGTGAGCTTCTCCTACGTGTTTGAGTACTGAGCAAATGCTGCTAGCTCCAGGACATGCATGGGCAAAGACACAGCTGAATCCAAATATCATGCCACCCAAACATTGGAACCAAAATAACAGCACAGACCAAAATTTTGAAAAGAAACAACAGGCAAGACTATTTCAAGCCCATCTTGGATCTATGTCAATTTGGTTAGCTAAGTCCATGTCATTTCTTTTTTGTAAGTTACTGAATTTTTGAGGATGTGGGTATGTGGGGGTGGTATTTCTGGCAAAGGATCCGCTTTGGAGCTTCCAAATGCCAAAAGAGAGTGTAAACAATGTGACACAAGGCCATAGGTTTTAAATCTTGGGATTAGGAATAACTTGAGGATATAGCAACTGTGCCACCTCGTCTCCCTAGTGTTTGGGGTTTCTATTTGTGAGCATTCTTAGATGGTTTCCTTGTCTCATGCGTGATACCCTCACGACAACCCTGTGAGGCAGGCAAGACTTACTAAATTCACTTTAAACATAAGGCAAATGAGCCCATGAGAAATTAAGAAACTTCCCAAGGGGCACACAAAAAATATGTGATTGGGGCTAATTCAGCTCTTCCTACTCCAAATTCTGTTGTGAACATGAAATTGGGAAGTTGATTTTATCCCAGAGCATCTAGCAGTCGCTCTAAATTATCTATTAAACTCCCATGGCCAGCAAAAGTAGAGATTCTTAATGTAGGTGTTGGACACCCAATACCAACAATTCTAGGGTGGCCGGCTGAAGGGTTTCCTTAAAATAAGTGTAAAGGAGTTTTTTTCTTTAAGTTTAAACAATGGAATAAAGAGGAAAAAGGATACTTTTCCCATTTCTCCTGCCTATTCCAGAAAGCAAAGGACTGCTCAAATCACTGGGATTTCTTTCTTTGTGTGGTGTTCTGTGCACTGACCGGAAATCTCTGACAAGGAAACGTAGCTATCCCAACTTTGCATGACATCAAATCAATTTTGACTTACTGAAGTGCTGGGTGGGGCACAAAGTGGGGAGCAGGGGGGCAGCTCAGCCAAGGAAAGTGGGGCAGCCTAAGCCTTCCATCTCTTCTGCTGCTCAGTTGCAGAGCAAAACGGAAAGAAAGAAAGAGAGAGAGGCAGGGAAAACAGGAACAGAGAAAGCCACGGAGAGGAAGAGAGAGAAACCAGAGACCAATGTCCCCTTTCTGCCTTTCAACCAAGATAAAAATTAACATATACTGGCAACATAGGAATCAGCCTCAAAATTATTCTGTGACCGAAAGGGTAGTGATTAAAATGTTCCCTAGATAACCCAATAGACGTGCGTGTGAACATCCAAAATGGTGGTAGTGCACTGTAGTTCAGTGGCAGTCAGGCCCCTGGAAGCTGTGCATGAGTACGCATCAGGTTGCATCTATCTGGACAAGAAATCTCAAGTGATTTCACGGCTAATCCACACCATGGGGACAAGCCAACCTGAGTTAGGGAAGCCGGTCTGTAGTTAAAATAATCACAGTTAAACCCTATACTTGTATCTGACCGTGCCATTTATTCATATACTTTTCAAGTGCACTCGTGCACCTGGTCTGCCTATTTTACAGGGTTATGAATTGGGATTATTCTAAGTTCTTAAGTGTGAGAAAAAATGTAACATGTTGCAGCCCATGTGCAAAAATTGGTCTGTCTATACAAGGCCAGCAGCAACTTGGCTGAGGGGACCTGCTCAAAGGATCATCCAAAATGACACTAACGTTGGGCAGGAAATTGTGGAAGATACAGAGAGCCATAGCATAGAAACATCTTACCCAGGGCCTTTAGGATTAAATTAAAAACCACTTCAAGTTGGCAGTGAATTGTACAATGAATTTAAAATTATTTTTGGAAGGGGAAGCTTTCAGTTTACCAACAAAGTTGCCTCTGACCTTGGCCAAGGGCCAGAGTACAGATGGCTGGGTTTGCAGTTTACTTTATCTAAGTGGGAGGTCTGTAGTCCCAACTTGTATTTCCCAGGCCCTAGGTTGAAGAGGGTGTGGAAGACTATCTCTCAAATGGCTTTATTTAAACAACAACAACAACAACAACAACAACAACAAAAACATCAACTTTTCTCTGAGGTAGACCCTGGGCCCTGGCCAAGGGTTCGATTACAGATTTCTCATGAAATCTGCTGGAACCATCTTCCTTTGCATGAGTTCTAGGAATTAGGAGGAAGTGAGGGATGGCTCAATTCATCCCCCATCTGTTTTCCTATTTGCAGACTTTGGTGTAAAATGTGGCTTCTGTTGTTTGGAGACTACAACAACATCCTCTTGCCAGAAAAATGAAAATAAGGAGTTTGTTTCTGAAAGGTTCTTAGAAAGTGACCCTGCACATCTGCTGGCCCTTGTACAGGAAGGTCCTTGCCTGGCATTACGAATCATCCAGATATTCCCAGACTGCCAGGGCCCAGCGGAACAGCTGCAGAGCTGAGCTTCTGGAAAGCCCTCAGTCTCCCCCACCCTGGGCCCAGCAAACTGAAAGCCTCAGAGCTTTCCAAGCCTCTTCTCAGCCAACTCTCATCCAGATGAGCAGGAGGGGGGTTGAGGGTTCATCTTTCCTCTTGCCAAGTATAACAGCTTTCCAGGATTCTGGGCCACTGGCTCAATTTGTGTTGGGCAGTGGGATAACTATTGCTGGGAACTCAGAAAGGGATGGGCTCTAAGGAACAACTCAGACAGCAACACGGCTGCTTATGGATTTCAAAACTCTGAAAGTGGAGGAAAGGTCCAGTCACTGAAAGTCAACCCCTCAGCTACCAGCTGCTGAGTGGAAAGTGTTCACTGGCTCTGGTCTGCTCAAGGAAAAGCGCAAGGGTAATGTTGAGCAAGCTGGAGAGAAAGCAGAAGTTGCCCATTTGTTACTTTCCCAGCAAAAGGCTCTCCCATCAGTCCATCCAAGTGCCCATGAGGTCTGAAGCCAGGGTGCGGGCAGTAGGGGCATCTGTGCGCACTGATGTGGCTCTGCACATGCATATGCCCAGGTGTGTGCCATACGAGCCAAATCCAAAGCCTTGGCAAATGGGGACCCCAGGATGGGCCCTCCACCCGGGCTGGACAGTTTGCTCAGCAGCCACAGAACAGATGGGGAAACAGGTCAACAGCTACCCCCACAGCCTCTGGCTTCTGCTGTCCGTCTTCAGCCACTCTGCAATATATATTACTGTCCCACCAGATGGAAAGCGCCAACAGAACATACCCCCACTTTCCCACAGCAGCTGGGAAAGGCGCCTCCCCCGCACCGGCCTGTAGGGGGCGTGGCTTCACCAGCACAGTGTTAGGACAAGCAAAACAGCCAGCCTTCTCTCTTGCATAGCCACACCATCCCCCCTGGAGACACTGGGGAAAAGCTAGACCACTCTTAAGAACAGCCCAGCTTCTCTGAGCTCCTCGGCAGCATCTGCCTTCCCACCTTCCCACCTTCCCGCCTCTCCTGCACCTCCCCTCCACCCCGCCCACCTCAGGCAGCAGGTGGAAACAACCAAGATCCCTAGCTCTTACCTGGTTGTGCCGCATTCTGCTCTCTCCCCTGGAAAGAAAAGTATACACTGACGTTAAATTGTTTTTTTTTTTCCTTTTTTAACCAGCGAACATTCATCTTTTTCTAAAAAGAAGAAACAACCGAACTTAATTATTTGTGAAATGGGAAATCTAATTATGCCTAAGTAATGGTCTGCTGGAAAGAATGGAGTCTCATTAAATCCCCAGTGCCTCCTATCTGTAAGGCTATGTTCACATAAATTTCATTTCGTGTTGTTCATGTATGTTTTTTTTTCTTTCCAGCAATTTTCCAACTGCAGCCTGCTGACCACATGCTTTAGAATTTTCTGGGGATGTTGTTAAAAATGCAAGGTTTTTTTGCTTTCCCATGAGCCTCCTGAATCAGAATCTCTGAGCTAAGAAGCCACGAATCTGCATTTTAACAAGCACCATGGGTGATCCCTTCTCTGCCTGCCAAAGCTCGAGAACTCACACACTGCTTTATACCAACAAAGGTTTGTGGAGCACCTGTCATATGCTTGGCCCTGAAAAGCAGCAACCAGAAGATACCTTCTTGTTATTCCTCAGCCCAGCCACATCCCCACCCCGACCCCTTCATTCTTCAGCCTTCATTCTCAGCTGAAGACCTCGCTTCCTTCCCTGGAGAAGAAAATCAGTAAGACGGGTCTTGGCATGCCTCCATACGATGCACCCACCTACCTATGCCTGCCCATTCACGCTCTACCTCCCGTCCTGGTACTCTGGGGAAGCATCCCAATTCTGCCAAAGCTCAGACCTTCTGCCCGTGCTCTGGGTCCTACCTCTTCCACCCTTCTTGGGGCCTCTGCTTCTGCAAGTGTCCCCCTCGACACCTCTAACATCACCAATCTCCTTTCTTCTGGATCATTTCCATCAGCATACAAACATGTTCTGGATAAGTATAACCTAGTTTTGAAACCTCCCTGGGCTCGCTTTCTCACTCTAACTCCATTCCCATTTCTCTCCTTTAGAGCAAAACTTGCTGAAGGAGCTTTATAGAGGCACTGTTGCTTCCTCCACTCACACCACTGCAGCTGGCTTCTGGTCTCACCATCCACAGAGACTGCTTGCTCCGTGTGGCCGGATCCACTTATCTTCTGCGTCTTCTCTGCTCTTATCTGACTTCTCAGCACCATCAACTCAGTCAATCACTCTCTTCCTCTTACCAAGTGTTCTCCTTGATTTTCATGACTCCACACTTGCCAGGTGTCCTTCCCACCCTCCAGGCTGTTCCTCAGTTTCTCTTGCTGTCTCCTCCTCATCTGCCCCCAGGAGGTGCACCCAGCTCTCTTTCTACACACCCTCTCTGGGTGACCTAAGTGCTGACTGAGGACTCCCTAATCTTACCTCCAGATCTTCCATTCCCCTGGAATTGCAGACTCCAAGCCACTGCCTTCCCTTTTATTTTTAATGGCTTTATTGAAGCATAATTTACATATCAAAAAATTCACCCATTTGAAATGTATGATTCAATGATTTAGTAAATATTCAAAGTTGTGTAACCATCACCACAATTCAATTTTAGAACATTTCCCTCACATGAAAAAGATTCCTCAGGCCAATTCACAGTCACTCCCTCTCTCCCTCTCCAGCCTATGACAACTGCTCATCTATCCTCTGTCTATGGATTTGCTTATCTGGACATTTTACAAAAATGGAAGCATTCAATCCACAGTCTTTTGTGTTAGCTTCCTTCATTTAGCGTATGCTTTTGAGGTTCATCCATACAGCATGATTCAGTACTTCATTCCTTTAATGGTGCAGTTGAGAACCTCTAGGCCATGCTGTCTAATAGAAATATAATGTAAGCCACGATTTTTAGCAGCCACATTAGAAAAAGTAAAGATGGGTGCCTGGGTGGTTCAGTCGGTTGAGCGTCCAACTCTTGATTTAGGCTCAGGTCATGATCTCACAGTTCATGAGATTGAGCCACAAGTTGGAGCCTACTTGAGATTCTCTCTCTCTCTGTCCCTCTGCCCCTCCCCTGCTCATGCTTTCTCTCTCTATCAAAAAATAATAATAATAATAATAATAATGAGGGGCGCCTGGGTGGCTCAGTCAGTTAAGCATCCAACTTCGGCTCAGGTTATGCTCTCACAATCCGTGAGTTCGAGCCCCGCATCGGGCTCTGTGCTGACAGCTCAGAGCCTGGAGCCTGCTTCGGATTCTGTGTCTCCCTCTCTCTCTGCCCCTCCCCTGCTCATGCTCTGTCTCTCTCTGTCTCAAAAATAAATAAAAACGTTAAAAAAATTTTTTTAAATAATGAAATGAAATTAATTTTAATAACATATTGTGTTTAACTTTATACATCAAAAATATCACTTCAATGTATATTAATATAAAAATTCATAAAGTATTTCATATAGTTTTTGTATTAACGCTTTGAAATCTTGTTTTCATTTTATACATCTTAATCCATACTAGCCATGTTTCAAGCGTTTGATAGCTATATGGCTGGCAGCCGCCATACTGGACAGCTCTAGACTCTAGAATCCCATCCAGCATTCACATGAAAGGACTTTTTTTAAAATAATTTTTTAAGTGTATTTATTTTGAGAGAGAGAGAGAAAGACAGTGTGAGTGAGGGAGGGGCAGAGAGAGAGGGAGAGAGAATCCCAAGCAGGTTCCACGCTGTCAGCACAGAGCCCAATGCGGGGCTCGATCCCACAAATTGTGAGATCATGATCTGAGCTGAAATCAAGAGCCAGATGCGTAGAAAGTACTTTTTAAAAGAAAGAACCGAGCATTTATTTTCTCTACAGAAAACAATACCGAATGAGGATAGGGGCAAAAATGAGGGGAAGAAGAGAATAACAGAAGTCTGAAAATAAAACACGGCAGGGAATCAACACACAATTCTTTAATTCCTAACCAATGCCACAAGCAGTTACAAGGGTTACTACATTTGGTTGAACTGGAGCCAAAGACCAAAGCAAGAAAGGCGAAACGTTAGACAAAATTGACATATCTCTTATGCATAATCTTATTATGTGTCTGTAGTCTCAGACAAACTCCCACCAGATGCCAATCTGAGCTACAGGTTTCATACAGACCCAAGACCCCGAGTTGCAGCTAAAGCAACCCACGAAAGGGGTCGGCCAATGGCCTGCATTAACTATAAGAACACACAATTTCCCTTATGGCTGCAGTAAGCTGTGCAACTCTGACTCCAAAGGGGACCTACGAGGTGTTTCCTGTTCCACCCTCTCTTAGTTCCAAAAATGCACACTCCTCTATGTGCTCATTAAGGTCTAGCCACCCTCCCCTTCTTTTAGTCCTGACTCACCATGTTCCTTCCCACCTTCACACATGCTGTTCCCTCTGCCCTGACACTCTTTCCTCAGTTGTTCACAGGGCTGATGTGTTCTCACCCTTCAGTCTCAGCTTGAACATGACCTCCGCCCTGAGGCTTCAGTGCTCACCCAACCTAAAGCAGGTCTCCTCTCCCGCCCCCTCCCCCATATGAACATTTGTTCTCTATCTCAGCCCCAATTTCCCATTCATGGCACTTAAAATGGTTGTAATTCTTTATTTAGTAGTTTGTTTACTGTTCGAGGTCTCTGTTCCCCATGACAGCAGGAACCTTGTCTGTCTTGTGTTCACTGTTCTCCCCCTCCAGGCTGAGCGTAGCATCTATGCTTTGGACAATGGATGGACAGATAAATGGACAGATAAGGGCAGAAAGGGGAGAAGTGTGGAGGTAGGAATCTAAGTGTTGAAGTCCTGCAGTGCAATGTCAGAAACATACTCAAGGCAGACTTTCCTCCAGCAAGGAATCAAATATATTCCCTGTCAGCTTTAGACTCCTATTCTAGCTCTCAAGAACCCCATTACCAACATCTTTCGGAATCTGTTTTCGCAACTCCTAGAAAATATCAGAAATCAAAACTGTTCTGCCCTTTACCTTCTGAGACCCACTGGGATTTTTAAAAATATATTTTATAGTTAGTGGCCCAGTCATTTTCAGAAGGTCAGACTGTCTGGTCCTGGCAAACACTGGCTCTATAATGTGCTATTAAATCTTGGTCTGAAAAGGTTATGTCCCATCCCTTTTATAGACAATGCACTATTCATTCTTGAGAGGCTATAGTAAATTGAAACACCACCCATATCTTGGGTATAAACCCTGGAGCTTATAGACTACCCAGAGCAGTAAAAAGGTCAGGGATCTAAGACTAAGACAGGATGATAAACTAAGAATCCTATGGCCAAAAACAGTGGCATAGCAACAGCCAAGGGCATATAGGGTGCGTTCTTGTTCCCAAGATGTGGCTGTGATGTTTACAACACGGAATGCCACTTTGCAGGGCACCTAGAAGCTTTTTGACTTATGTGTCTGGGATCAATCATGTTAAAAACTTTGCTTCTGAGTGTGACCTAAAGACCATGTGTTTCCTCTAACTTGTGGCTTCTTTGAGCCATGCTGTCAAAAGACGACTTAAGAGAAATGGATTATATGACACATTTCATTAAAAAAAAAAACAACAACAAGAAACAAGCTTTGTATCTTCTTAATCAAAATATTCCACTTGGCCCCATATTTCTCACCTGCTACCAAAATTTCCAGACTGCCCCTCCCAATACAAAATAGCCTTCAAAGGGCATAAAAAGGTCACTGATGCAGGTGTAATCCTACCCCGGCCCACTCTTAGGGAAGCTTTCTACTGAATGGAAGAATCAGCACGCGCAAGAAGAGGTGAATCGTCTGTTGACACTCAGAAAAATAAAGGAGCCAAGATCTTGAGCTTGTTTTGGCCTGCTTAATTTCTTCCATGTCCGCTTTGCCCAACAGGCAAGAACGTGACCAATCTAAGTCAGTGCACGTTCTCCCCTTTCACCCGGTGCCCTCAGAATCCACATGTACATTTATCAGGCAGTGGGGATACAAAAGTGACTCAAGATTTGGTCTCAGCTGCAGTTCTTTCCAGTAATTGGACAATTTGTTAACTTTAGAAATAACAATGGACCAGCGTTTATTACTTGTAACGAATACTCCATACTCACTTATGATGAGTTGTTAATGTCAATTAACAGGAAATACTGGATGTGGCATCTATGGGAACTAGCTGTACTATCTTTGCAACTTTTCTGTAAATCTAAAACTATTCTAAAACAAAGTCTATTAAAAAAATCCTCACCCAAATTGACCAGTCTAACAAGGCCCATCCCAGTTTTCAAAAGAGGCACAAAGCTTTTCCATTGCTGGCTTACTAGAGAACAGGACTGAGATTCTTCTGGATGGCTCTTTCTTTCTTAGCTGCCCTTACACTTCGGAAGCCACATTTTCCTGCAGTTTTTCATTGCTATTCAGCCTAAAACTCAGAAGGAGGACTGGTAAATCACATCTTGGAGCAAGGTATAGCTGAAGGCTAAGTAAACTTGGGAGACCAAATGGGTCAGGGGTTATGCCAACCCAAACTAATTTTTATTATTATTTCATCAAGGCTATTCATTCAGGCAAGGGCAGTAATAAACGGTTGCATCTGATAGCACACATGGGTGAGCTGGAGAGAAGCACCTTCTCATCTGGGATCTTATTTTCTAAAAGAACATCTACTTTTCTAAAACCAGGGCTCCTGATTTTGAACATACAAGGAGCCAACCAACTCATAGGGACTTGCCTTTTGGTACATGGCTCTGAGAAACAGCCTCCAACCCCCAGGGGCCACTGGCTATAAAACCAATCCTCCTTTTTAATGCTAGTCATGGGAGCTGTCCCTGGCACGCCAGCTTGGCTCTTCCCTAGGACTTTCTGGCTCTCCTACTCCTATGCGCCCCACTCTTCTGGCCCAATATGGAAATGTCAGGATGGGCAGAATGTAGAGGAGTGTCAGGGGAAATGGAAAAAAAGCCCAATGCAACTCACTGCTCCCACCCTTACCCCGATCAATGAGGTCTGACAAATGTATACACCTGAGTATACACCAAATCAGGAGCATTTTTATCACCCCCAGAAGTTGCCCAGCTAGAAGACACAAAACTAATCTATGCTGACAGAAATCCGATCAGTGGTTGCTTGGGGTGGTGGAGAAAGGATTCACCTCAAAGGGGTTCAAAGGGGCTTTTGTGGTGACAGAAATGTTCTATATTCTGATCTGGGTACATATGTTTGTCACAAGTGATTTCTACACAAAACGGGTGGATTTTATTGTACATAAGTTATAGGTCAATAAAGTTGATTGAAAAAATTCTACTGATATTAGTTTTAACCTCCTGATTACTACTCCAAGCCCCAGTTACTCATTTTTCTTGAAGCCTTTCCGGCTCTTCTGGGCCCACGGTGATCCCTTCCACTCCTGGCTCATACTCTTAAGAGTCTGTACTGTTCACCTGGCAATTCACCTAGTATTTCTGTGCAACTTAATGTTATCGCTTTAAATTTTTTATGAATTCATGAATTGTCTTCCTCGCTAGGTTAGAAGCACCTTGGGGCTGGGAAATGGTTTAATTTCTCGCTGTTTCCTCTAAAGCACGGGGCTCACAAATGCCAAGCATCTGCAGATTCCAGCTGTCCCCCTGATCGGTGCCGAGTGGACAGTGTCAGGGAAGGCTTGGGTGGGCAGGGCACAGCCCCTAGAATGGGCACCTGTATGGAGAAGAGTGGGGTGCTATGCCCCCTATGACTCTTACCTATCACACTCCTACTTCCCTGGAAAATTCCTGGGTGATCTCTAGGCCTGCTTCAAGCTGTCGTCTTGGGATCTACTGGTATCATCACTTTGGAAATCCCGTTTCCTGGACCCCATGCTCTTTTTCCTTTACATAGAACACACCCTTCAGCCAACAGACCTCTCCAACAGAATACAAGAGTATATCTGGATGTGGGGCTCAAGCAGGGCCTCACAACTTCAGAAACGCCCAGCTCAGCTCATCCCCCTCATAGCTGACAGTCACACCACTTTCCAGGGCCACCACAATTTGCTGCAAGCCATCCCTGACCTTGGGGCCAGGCTCGTGTCCTGGTGACCTTCCCATTCAACATTCATCCAATGACTAACTGAATGGCTACTGTGAGCCAGGTACTATTCTAGGCACCGGAGATAAAGTGGTAGACAAAATAAACAAGGAAGTCCCTACTTGGAAAGAAGATATGAGACAGTTGGGGTGGGGATGTACCCAAAGATAATAAGCAAATGAACAAATAATAAATAGGGTGCTTTCACATGGTGATGAATGAGATGAAGAAAATCAAACAGAGAGTGTTGGGACAGAGGTGGTGATTTCTTGAGGTTGGGTGACAAGGAGAGTCTCACTGAGGAAGTGACACCTCTGCTGACAAAGCTGAAGGATAAGGAGCCAACCCATACTGAGATCTGGGTTAAGGGCATTCCAGGCAGAGAGAACAGCAGATGCAAAGGCCCTGGGGCAGGAATGAGCTTCATGAGTTTTAAAGGGCAGAAAGGAGCGTAGAGTGGCTGGTGCACAGTAAGGGAGTAGACAATGATAAATATGGTCAGTGAAAAGGGTAATGTTCAAATGACCTTTTGGCCTCATGTACTGTGAGAGCACTTTGGATTTTATTCCAACTGTCATTGGAGGCCTTTGCGCAGTTTTAAGCCTACTCCCCACATCCCTCAAGGACCAAAATACACATATGGATTTTTCTTTTCTGGACCTAGATGCCTGGCCAGACACTCTAGGAGTATTCCTGGCAAACAGTACCTGTTAAAAAACAGCAATGCAGAACTCTGTGCTCCTGGATCCCCACCCCCTACCTGCTGGGGACCCCTCTCATCACTTTGCCTTGGACTCTCCCCCAGAACCTAAACGAACATAGTTGCCCCATGTTTTCTGCAGCCACACTAGACCCCTCTTAGCATCTGTACTGGCCTGCCCAGTCCTGCCAGGTGGCTGTGCTACCAGGCCTCATTCAACCAAGTGCCCATGTCTCAAGTTGAAATGACCCAGGGGACCACGACAAAACAAGTATCCCTCCTCACAGGCCTCTGCCTTCCAACCAACTCACCTTCACCCAGGGTCTGCTTGAGTAAGTCATGCTTGGCCTGTAGCTTAGTGATGAGGTTACTGCCATTCACATATTCTTTAAATTTCTGTAAAACACAAGGCACAAGGACATTACAGACTGCAAGGCCAAGTCACGTGGTCTCTGCCTCTAAAACCGACAGCTATGCCAGGGAGGTCAGAGGGAGATTATGCCACCCTCAAGGACCCCAGCATGGGGAAAAGAAGGACCTCTGACTTGCTCCTTTTCACTTCTCCACAGACCCCAGCTCTGCCGAGTGCGACCGTCCCATCCTGGGCATTTCAGGGCAGTCTGGGGGAACACAAAGAAAGCTCAGGGGGAATGTGAGCTGCGAAAGGTGCTTTTGTCAGGTGAGGACTGGGGACTGAGCCCCAAGCAGACAGCTTCGTTAGTCATCAAGCCTCCACTGGGCTTCTGGGCCACGAGCAATAAAAATGGGAGCCGTCTCTGGGGGCACACAGCTGAGGCAAGAGCGCTTTATCAGATCTGTTACAGAGGAGCCTGCGAAGGAACCTTCCTTTCATCTGGCCCCACTCCGAAGGAGGAGGGGCTTTGCAGGCCCCTAAAGACATTCCTATTAAAATAACCTCAATTACATTGGGGGATACGTTTTTCTGCTTTTTACAGAGGAGACAGGTGAGGCTGGCATAAAGATCTGATTTGCCCCACGTCCCTGGGACTCCCAGGCTGCTTCGAGTTCAGGGACCTTGTCATGTACAATGTGTTTCAGAGCAGTGCAGAGGGACAGGAGTCACTGGGAACAGAAACACATCTACCTGTGCTCAAACTGAGCTGGACCTCAGCCACACCTCTGCACAAGTACCAGCTTTCCTTGGCCCACCCTGCATCACGTAAGCACAGGCCAGACCCCTCTCTGCTGGGGCATGTCTTTGCTAGACTGTGAGCTGCTGTTGGTGGGGTCCACACCCAATTTGTTTCCGGATCCCCAGTGCCTACAGCTGTGCCTGGCATGTAGCCAGTGCTGAGAAACTCTGCTGAAGCTCTGATCTCGTGGGGGTTGACAGAGAGGAGTGGGAAGAGAGACAATAAGCTAATAAAGAAAGTAAAATACACGATTGGTCGGACGCTGGTGAATGCTATGGATAAAAATAAGGCAGGAATGGGGGACTAGGAACCAGAGCAGACCTCACTGCATAGTTGCCATGTGAACCAAGGCCTGAAGGAGGTGAGGAAGGGGCTGTGTGGATACACGTGAGCACATGGGGAAGGAACATTCTCAGCAGATGCAAAGGCAATTGCAAACGCCCCAAAAACAAAGGCACAGGATGGTGTGATTGCCCCAAATCTGCCAGCTAGTTTCTCACCAAGAAATCCATTTTATTGCCCCAGCCAGAATGCTCAGAAAAGGGTGCAGAGGAGCAAACAAGTGAACTGTAGAGGCTCGGGACACTCCAATATGACGTGTAAAGGAGCATCTGGAACATCACCATCATCCTATTGACAACAGTTGTAGGGAAAAGTTCCAGGGACTGGGGGCTGACGTGTACAGATAAGATTGAGGTCACCTCACCTGGCCCCATCTGGATAGGTTTCTGGAACGGAGGGACTGGCAGGAGACGATGGTGCCGTATCTCGTCAGCCACAGTCCTTGGCGCCTAGGACCTTGGCTCCTAGGAACCACTCCCCTTGTACCAAAGAGCACCTGAAAGTTTTCAAGCTTGTACCTTTGGTCCTCATCACAATCTTGGATGGCAAAGAGTGGGGTGGGGGGGGCATCATCATTCCCATTCTTGCCAGAAGGGGACAGAAGCTCAGAGCTTAAAGTGCCACCTTGGGCAGCTTACTCACTGCCCTCCTCAGGGTAAAGTGATAACTGACCTGCAGTGTTTCTCCAAGTGTGGTGCAGGGACTGGCAGCCTCCTACCAGCTGGGAAGAGGATCAAAATGCAGATTCCTGCTCAAGAATACTGTGAGTCTAACCCCTAATTTTACCCCTGAGGAAGGCACTACAGAGGATCAGAAGTGTTCAATTTCCCAGGGCCCACCTCGGGGAGGGTGGTATGCTGGGAGCCTACATTTTTAACAAGCTTCCTACATGATTCGAATACACACTTCAGTTTGATAAACGCTCTCCCCTAGGCTCTCTATGGATGCTTCCAGTAATGACACGCTCTGCTCTTATCACATGTTTAAAAATTTGCCATGAGAAGCAGAGCTGAGGTATAAGCAGGTATTTTCTCCACCATGCCTTGCTGCCCCAGGTAGTTGAAGCTCTAATCCCAACCAGGTAACTCACCTGGGTGGGCAATTCACTGGTTAGTGGAAATTACACCCCGGGGCTCTGGAGCCCATAGACTTTGCCTACTTTTTCCAAGCTTCATCCAGGCTTCCTATGTGACCCACGATGGAAAGAATACTATCAAATTGTACCAATGCTTGCATTAAGAGGAATATTATGGGGGCGCCTGGGTGGCGCAGTCGGTTAAGCGTCCGACTTCAGCCAGGTCACGATCTCCCGGTCCGCGAGTTCGAGCCCCGCGTCGGGCTCTGGGCTGATGGCTCAGAGCCTGGAGCCTGTTTCCGATTCTGTGTCTCCCTCTCTCTCTGCCCCTCCCCCGTTCATGCTCTGTCTCTCTCTGTCCCAAAAATAAATAAACGTTGAAAAAAAAAAAAAAATTAAGAGGAATATTATGTCCTTAAAAGTGCCTAAAATAATGTCATAACATCAAGTCATGAGGTGTACTAGCCAACCAGGTTGATAGATTAAATATTAAAATGAAAATATAATACCCATGACCCTTAATCATGAACACTGGTGAATTCTTTTCCTTTCAAGTCAGCCAGACCCCCTTTTCTCTGCTTCTGCCACCCAAATTTCTTTGCTTCCGCTGTCATAGTGAATTCATATTCATGTGCACTGCTTCCTTAAATCTCTGTGACCCATAAAATTCTCTTTGTAAATACAGTAGGCGCCCAATGGAAGTGGTGAACCCCAGAAATTGGCATGGGCTGATTCACCAAGACTAGTCTTATTTCCTTTCTTGAAAACAACAAAATCAAACAGTGATGACTGAGGAAATGCAATATATGTCAACTGTTTGATTTCAAAAAAGGATTCGACAAGGCCTATCACAAGATGGAGCTGGGTGTCAGAACTGGGTGGGTTTGTGACTCATTAAATGACCGCCATCTAGAGGTGTTGATACAGTGGATCACTATCAGCCTAGTGGCATGTTTCAAACAACTCTGTCTTTGGCCTTGGTTGTGGCATAACTATTAGTTTTTTTTTTTTTTCACTGACAAACTTTAAGGTATGAAAGCCACACTCACTGAATCTGCAGACAACCTAAGTCTGAAGGGACAGCACATATGTTGAACCACTGCAACAAGATCCTGACAGTCTGAAGCCATGAACTAAATCCATCAAGAGGAAATCTAACTGGTAAGAAACCTAACACTGACCCAACACATCAGCTACATATCCTTTAGCAGAAAGGTAGCCTGGTGTAATGGCAGTACATAGGGAATAGAGACTTAACTGACATTAACTTTAAAAAAAAAAAAAAAAAGAATACAATCTTAGTTATAAGAGAAGATTATGAAAATGTGCATGCCAACAAATTGAACAAGATAAAAGAAATGGATAAATTCTTATAAACACATAACCTCCTAAAACGAAATCAAAAAGAAATAGAACATTTTAACAAGCTGATTACCAGCAATGAAATTGTATCAATCAAAAAACTCCCAACACACAAAAGTCCAGAAGCAGAAGGCTTCACAGGTGAATTCTATCAAACATTTAAAGAAGACTTAATACCTACTCTTCTCAAACTATTCCAAAAATAGGAAGAGGAAGGAAAGCTTCAAGATTAATTCTATGATGCCCTGATACCAAAATCAGATAAAGACACTACAACAAAAGGGAACTGTAGGCCCATATCTCTGGTGAATATAGATGCAAGAATTCCCAACAAAATGTTAGCAAACTAAATCCAATAATGCATTAAAAAAATCATCCACCACGATCAAGTGGGACTTTTTCCTGTGTTGCAGGGGTGGTTCAATATTCACAAATCAATCAATGTGATACATCACATCAATAGGAGGAAGGATAAAAACTATAGATGCAGAAAAAGCGTCTGACAAAGTACAAGATCCATTCATAATCAAAATCCTCATCAAAGAAGGTAGAGGGAATGTACCTCAACATAAAAAGGCCATATATGAAAAACCCACAGCTAATATGATACTCAGTGGAGAAAAACAGAACTTTTCTCCTAAGGTCGGGAACAAGACAAGGATGTCCACTCTCACCACTTTTGCTCAACACAGTACTGGAAGTCCTAGGCACAGCAATCACGTAACTAAAAGAAATAAAAGACATCCAAATTGGTAAGGAAGAAGTAAAACCTTTACTATTTGCAGATGACATGATACTATATATAGAAAACCCTAAAGCCACTACGAAAAAACTACTAGAACTGATAAATGAATTCAGTAAGGTCACAGAATACAAAATCAATATAGAAAATCTGTTGCATTTCTATACACTAATAATGAAGTAGCAGAACGGGAAATTAAAACCACAATCCTATTTACAATTGCACCAAAAATAATAGAATACTTAGGAATAAACTCAACCAAGGAAGTGAAAGACCTATACTCTGAAAACTATAAAACACTGATGAAAGAAATTGAAGTAAAAACAAAGGGAAAGATGACTCCATGCTTATAGATTGGAAGAATTAATATTGTTAAAATGTCCATACTACTCAAAGCAATCTACAGATTTAATGCAATGCCTATCAAAATACCAAAAACATTTTTCACAGAACTAAAACAAATAATCCTAAAATTTGTATGGAACCACAAAAGGCCTCAAATAGCCAAAACACTCTTGAAAAAGAAGAACAAAACTGAAGGCATAATAACCCCAGATTTCAAGATCTGCTACAAAGCTGTAGTTATCAAAATCGTATGGTACTGGCACCAAAACAGACATAAAGATCAATGGAACAGAATAGAGATCCCAGAAATAAACACACAATTATATGGTCAATTAATCTACAACAAAGGATGCAATACGCAATGAGAAAAAGAAGAGTCTCTTTAACAAATGGTGCTGGGAAAACTGGACAACTACATGCAAAAGTATGAAACTGAACTACACTTTCTTACACTAGACACAAAAATAAACTCAAAATGGATTAAGGACCTAAATGTGAGACTTGAAACCATAAAAATCCTAGAAGACAGCTCAGGCATCTGACATCAGCTGTATCAACATTCTTCTTGATACATCTCCTGAGATAATGGAAACAAAAGCAAAAATAAACTATTGGGACTGTGTCAAAATGAAAAGCTTCTGCAAAGGATACAATCAACAAAAACTAAAAGACAACCTAGTGAATGGGAGAGGATATTTGCAAATGGCATATCTGATAAAGGATTAGTACCCCAAATATATAAAGAACTTCTACAACACCTCCCCCAAAACCCCAAATAATCCAATTAAAAAATGAGCAAAAGACATGAGCAAATATTTCCCCAAAGAAGACATCCAGACGACCAACAGACACATGAAAAGATGCTCAACATCACTCATCATCGGGAAAATGCAAATCAAAACCACAATGAGATATTACCTTGTACCTGTCAGAATGGCTAAAATCAAAAACACAAGAAACAAGTGTTGGCAAAGATGTGGAGAAAAAGAAACCCTCTTGCACTGTTAATGGGAATGCATACTGGTGTGGCTGCTGTGGAAGACGCTATGGAGTTTCCTCGAAAAATTAAAAATAGAATTACCATATGATCCAGTAATTCTACTACTGGGTATTTACCAAAAAAATACAAAAACACTAATGTGAAAAGACATATGCATCCCTATATGTACTGCAGCATTATTTATAATAGCCAAATCAAAACAGCCCAAGTGCCCACTGATAGATTTATGCACAAAGAAGAGACGGCATGTATAAATACATATAATTTCTTGAGGAATTATATACATATATAAAAGAATGAAATATTGCCATTTGCAAGAACATGGATGGATCTAAAGAGTATAATGCTAAGTAAAATAAGTCAGTCAGAGAAAGACAAATACCATATGATTTCACTCATATGTGGAATTTAAGAAACAAAACAAATGAACAAAGGAAAAAAAGAGACAAATGAAAAACCAGACTCTTAACTATAGAGAACAAACAGATGGTTACCAGCGGGGAGGTGGGAGGAAGGTTGGGTGAAACAGATAAAGGGGGTTCAGAGTACACTTATGATGAGCACTGAGTAATGCACAGAACTGTTCAATCACTATACTGTACATCTGAAACTAATATAACACTGTATGTTAACTATATTGGAATTAAAATGTGTAAATAAAAATAAAAACAAAACGAAAAGAATATGATCTTAGAATGTATGGAAAGGAGAATAGCACCTAGGGTGGGAGGAGGCGGGAGTTTAGCTCTAGTCTGTGCTGGTCAGATCACTGCTCAGAGTCTCGCTTTAACACAGGCATCAATAAAAGGAACAAGTTCAGGAAAGAGACACCAGGATGCTGAGGCCACTCAAAATGAAAGCTTATGAGGCAGGATTTACAATATCAGGTATGTTTAGCCTGGAGAAATGAAAACCTAGCTCGTTAGAAGCACACCGAAGACTGTCTTGTGGAATTATCCTCTCTGTTGCCCCAGAGAACAGGATCAAGATGAATGACCAGAAATCCCAGTGAAGTAGAGATAACAGAATACATCATAATATCTACTGCTGGCCACAGGCCAGACAATAGGGCTGTTTGGAGAAGGAAGGAACTTTTAATCCTAGGTCTGTTCAAGCAGAGGCTGGATGCCTTTTTGGTAGGGATAGGGTTGAATGTGATCAAACATCAGATGGAAGATCTGAAGTCCCTTACACCCCCAAAATTCTATGTTCACTCAACACATGTTGAACAAAGATCCAGTGCCCCCTAACCTTGTTCTTCCCTGCCCCAGCAAAATGGAATGCATATAATCTGGGATTTTACATGATGGGCTGACAACTTACCAGCAGTTTGCACAGATCATTCAGGGCATGGTTTCTAAAGCCCACACCCAAATTTAAGATACCTCAATGTGACAACCGTACATTAAACTTTAGGTTTGTTATTTGGGCTTCCACTAGGCTAAGAGCCATTTCCCTCATACCCTATGGAACACAACTCTCTGGGGTTTTGTAGGTTAACTGCAATAACCATCAATCCAGGATCAATGCTGATGCTCCCCACTGGTAATTCACCTTTTTGCATCTCACAAAGCCAAGGCAACTTCATTTGAGAAGCACATTGGAAACTTTTTAGCTCTAACTGACCCACATGGTTTTGCTGGCTCCCCCTAGCTTGGGCTGTTCCCCCAAAAGTCACTGCCAGCAGGTCAGTAGACAGTAAGTTCTGGGTCCAAGACACCACTTACCGTAAAATAAAACATTTCTGTTTCTTGCTGGTTGGCCCTCCTTTTGGCAATGTTGATCTTGCTCATGTAGGTCTCAGAGGCAGCCGACTTCACAGACTCTGTAGATCGACTGTGTTGGAAGGCGTCAGAAACATCAAAGTCCTCCACAGTCAGCATGTCCTGTAAGGTCTGCATGGTGGCATCCAGAGTTTTTCTAACCTGGAGAAACACAGCATGTCAACAAAAACCCTTCAGCCTCAAAATGCCTTTCACACCTCAAAATCCTTTTCCCCACTTTATTTCTTTCACGTATAGCCTCTAGGAGGTGGGCAGGACAAAGATGATCATTCTCATTATACTGATGTGGAGTATAAGGCCAGCGAGCTGGCTAGGGTGAGAACCCATGTTGCCCAGTCTAACATCATTGTATTGGATTGCTTCTGCCGAAGAGAACCTGGGAGAATGTTGTGACAAACAAGGAAGCCAGGTTTCCAGGTTTGTTTCTCTTTTCCTGATTATATAGCCCCACACGAGCTCCTCCAATAGGAGGCAGGTCCCTTGAGCAGAAATATTCTGAGTGCTCATCCAGAGAGATGAGAGGATAGAGTCTAGATAGGATGAGGGGCCATCCTCAGTGGACATACTCTCTGGCTATCTGCCCCTGACTTATCAAAAGCCTGACTGAGAAATGAGAAAAGAGAGGAAGATCATGCTGAGCCAGTCCTCCAGGATCCCAACTTCTCTCCTGGAGTCAAGTGGGACCCCCAGAAGCCTACACGTGCAGAACACACGAGACCTGACCTCGCAACATCCCTTCACTGACTTGTACCCTATACTTCGATGGAAGGTCACTCCAAAAACAGTCAGGGGAGAAACTGCATCTACATTCACTGTTAAATTATTGTCACCCGAAGTCTTTCTTGTCACTCAGATCTCCACTTAAATGTCACTTCCTGGAGACATCAGAGCCCCCTGACTACTGTTCCTAACTTAGTGCCCACCATCACTTGATATTTTGCATACTGCTTTAATGTTTTATCTATCTATCTTTTTTTGCTAGACTATAATCTCCAGGATAGGAGGCACTATGTTTTCTTGTTCACTCACTTTACTTTGCCTCTAGCACAGTGTTTAGAGCATGGAATGTACTTAATAAATACTTGAAAAATACTGGTTGAAAGAATACTTGTGAATGAATAAATGTATGGATCAGTTCTTTCTAACACAGCCTGACAGTAGTTCAGGTTCAAAATTAAGCATTTCCATAGCCACGAACAGCCTATACAGAGGAACTTTTGCATCATTCTCCTCTATGGGGCCCTGCTTTCCAATTTAAACCCCACTAATATTGTTATCCATATACTGTTCCATGTAAACAATTGAAAATGTTTCAGGGGAGGATACAGAATACTTCCTTCATCTCCTCTCTCTCCTCGGGTTTGAAAAATAAAAACATAATCCATTTCTGTATAACCTCCCCCCAGGGTCAGCTTTGATTCGTTATCGTCCTGCGTGACAATCTGTCTCACGTCTGTCCCAGTTTTGTCCTTTGTGAAGACATGGAGCAAACCAGCTCTCTCCGCCCAGGACAGCCCTCTTGAGATGTGAAGACAGGGGCCATGACTCCCCATCTCCAGCTGTGGTTGCACTTTCCGGTGATAAACTTGCCCAAGATTTTAGGTGACATTCCTCACATCCTGCTGTCCTTTCTCCAGGGGCCTGTAGTTGGTTGACATCCTCCCTGCATAAAGGCATCCAGGCTGGAATGGAATGTTTCCCATCTGGCTTCCTCGGTCCACATCAAAACACACCACAGCTGGTATTTCCATTCGTGCCCTCCCAGGGGCGATCCTGTGTCACTAGCCACGTGGGAGGTGTGCTGGCCAAGGCAAGACAGAAGTTCCTTGGGGCTCAGGATCCATCACACATTCGGTGTGCCCTGGGCTTTTTTATTACATTGTGTAATTTAAAATACCTATAGCTATCTTTGATGATCAAAATAACACAAACTCAATGCAGATAACAGAGAAAAGCACAAGAAGAAAACAGAAATCACCTATAATTCCTCTACCCAGATATAATCACAATTAACATCTCAAAGCATTTCTTTCTTTCCAGGCATTTTTTCTTGTGAATAAACACAGATACACATGCACCTCCTCTAGTTTACCATACTCAGGATACTACTGAACATAGAGTTCTACATCCTCTTTGTTCTTAACATCTTGGGAGCATTCCCCCATCCCTTTAAAGATTCTTGGTGTGCCCAGTTTTAATGGGTATGTAATAATCCATCTTATGGATGGACCCTAATTTCTAATGCATTCCACGACAAGCCAGGCCTTTGTAAGGAAATCGATTACAGGGCAGAGCGGCCCACTCACCTCCTCATTCTCTATCTTGAGAGTGGCCAGTCTGGACTGCAGCTGGTGGTACCGCATGAGCAATTCCGTCTGGACGGGCTGCTGAGCGCTGACCTGGCAAACCTGCAAAAGGACAGCCACCACCTGCCCTTGCCCAGTGCTCTCATCACCTGTGTGGAGCCAGGGCTGGGGGCCATCATCAACATCCCTATCAACAGCTGAAGAAACAGGCCTGGAAATGTTAAGTGACCTACCCATGGTCACACAGCTTGTACCTGGCAACACCAGCCAGGAACTGGGGTCTTCCTACCCCAAAGGCCACCCTCTCACATTGCAAGTTGTGGCCTCTCAGTCACGGTCTTCTAGGTTTGTCCAATCCTAGTAGGTTTACTAAACACTTTAACATAATCTCATTAAGTGAGACTAGTTCATTTCAAAGCAGGAAGTTGAAGAAGAAAGCAATGGCTTAACAAAAGCCAATGAAAAGAAAAACAAATGGAAACAATCAGTAGAGTTGTCCTATTTCCCATCAGGAAGGTGCTTTGGTGAGGCAACTGTGAGTCAGTAGCCTGCTCATGGGGTGGGGGAGGAGGTGAGTGGAAGGAGACATTGCTCTCCCTACACCCACTCCATCCACAGCTCCCTTACTACCTGTGGGCTGGGCAGCCTGGCATAACTCAGCTGAGATCATAAGGGACAGTAGGGCTCTGTGATTTACTAGTTATTTACCACTAACGAGGCAACTCAAACTTCACAGTCACGCGTCGTAACCATGAGGCCAGGATTTTTAGGTCCAGATGATGGGCCAAAGGGTTGAATGCAATGGCTGAGGGACGGGCCAGAAGCTGTGGGAGACCCTGCAGAAGGCCCCTCTTTTGCAGATGAAGAAAGTGGGGAGGGATGAAAAGGGAAAGCTCAAGGAGCTATTAGCATAAGGGACTTTGCACAGTTTGAGTAACCACTGTGATGCTTTGTGGCCAGGAACAAGTACCTTCCTGCACTTATTTATTTATCCATTCCAGAACACGGTTCTGAGGATCTGAGTGGCACAAAACCCAAGAGAGGCGAAAGTGGGTGATGGGCACTGAGGAGGGCACCTGTTGGGATGAGCATTGGGTGTTGTATGGAAACCAATTTGACAATAAATTTCATATTAAAAGAAAAGAAAAGAAAACAAAACAAAACCCAAGGGAGCAGAGTTGGTGGTAAGCCTCCCGTAGCGGAGGACAGGCAGTGCCCAGGCGAGGCTGCCGCCAGAGCGGCTGCGGTGAGGCCTAGCTAGCCTCCTGTGATCCAAGGTCATCCAAGGGAAGACTGTGAGATGCTTGTGTGACAATGTGGGACTCCCTTGGGGTCTAGACATAACTGGGAAGGATGTTAAGGAGAGTTAAGGTCTTGTAATTCTACAGGTGAGGCACGTGAGCCAGCAGAGTTAGGATATCAGTGGGAAACTCCTCAGATGGGGAAGCCCCTGGACCGAGAACATGACCTGAGGCCTCTGAGATCAATGTCATGCATGTGGAACAGGGGCTGACGTTCCCCTCCCACCGATGTTCTGGGAGCACATGGGAGAACAGGTGAAACGGCCTCAAGCATGGGCTCCTGGGAGAAGCCTACCTCATCCCCCATATGGGGCTGGAACTCAAACTTGAGTGGAGGACAGAAGACCTGGTTGCACATGTCCATGACAGTGTGCTTGTCACTTCGGGAGTCCAGGTTGTCTACCGCGTTCTCGATGACATCCAGCCCCTCGTGGCGAGAGGTCTCCAGGTTGTACTCGGCTGAGAGGTAGGTCCGGAAGGTGCGGGCCAGGCTGGCATGAAAGCCCAAGTCACAGCACTTGGAAAGAGGCACACGACAGAAGGCTGTGGGCTGTCACATGGAGGTGGAGGCCAACGGCATTCCCTTTCCCATGACAGTGGCTTACCATTACCTCACATTCCACAGTCACATCTTTCATCCTGGAAACCCTTGTGTACTTTGGAATCTTGCTGCACAAATCTCCCCAAAGCCCTCAGTGGGAGCTGGGTATTGTGATTTGGGCACTAGCAGAACTTCTCTAGCTCCCCAAATTCATCACATTCTTTCTCGTTTCTAGGCCTTCACACATGCATTCCCTCTGCCTGCAGACTGCCTAAATATTCTTCCTTGAGGTTTCAGTTTAGAGGTCACTTCCTCCAGGAAGTCCTCCTTGATGCACTCCCCGCTCAGAGTTTATATCATGCTTCCCTCCTCTGGGGGCCCGCATCTCCCCCACCTCCCTCACTGTGACACCTGCCAGTTGGCTTTGTGGTCACCTATTAAGATTTCAAGGTTATGCATTGTAAGCCCCATGAGGACAGACCCATGGGCTCTTGTCCACTGTGGTGCCTCAAGGCCTAGAGCTAGCAGGTGCTCAATAAAAATGTGGCAAATGAAGACAGGAGAGGGCTAGAAAGAGTGAAAAGTTGTGAGAAAGAGGAGAGATATGGCCTGGGGCATGGGAAGCCACAGGCAGGGCTGGGCAGCTCCCTCTCCTGGGGATTGTGGCAATGAGTCCCTACTGCAGCCATGGAAAAGTGGTGACCCTCTGACTCCCTGACAGGACACAGCAGACCCAGAGGAAAAGGATCCATCCACCAGTATGGAACCTTTCCTGAGCATCTACAGGCCAGATTCCTGTCCGTGTGGGATGGGCAAGACACAAAAAGCAGCCTCAGCTCCAGCACAGATGACACAGAAGCTCTCCATGATGATGCCCCTCATGACGTTCTCTCTCCAAGCCGGCGGACTCTTCAGCATGACCTACACATCTGGTACTCAGGAGTCAGGCTTCCATTCTGCTTTTGCTTAAACTGCCTGATTTCTCCCATGATAATATTCCCTAAACATACCTATACTACCCTGGGAAACCCTGCAGGCTGTGAACTGTGTATGATCACCCCTATACCTCTATACCCAGAAAAGGGCCCGGCGTAGAGGAGGGGACTTGGGCAGTGCAGGTGGAATATAAGACTGCCTGACCTGGCCATATAGGGGCTGCCAGAGGCCCACTCCCACCCACGGAAGTAGAAACCAGGAGGTGATACTCATTCCCCAGGCCCCAACGCCCACTGCCCTTCCCCTCCGTCGGGGCTCACGGGACATGCACATCAGCTAAAGACAAGGGCCAGTCCAGGTGTGGGGCCCTGTTCAGTCCCAGCCTCCCCAGGTGCTCACGTCGATTAGGTCGGAGACGTCGTGGATGTAGTACTTGCTGATAGCTGCGTTGGTGGCCGCCAGATTCAGCAAGTAGTCATTCCGGGCCTTTGTGCATTTCAGCTTGTTCTCAGAATACTTTGCCTGCCTCTGCAAGAACACAGTAGACGTAAGAGCTGAGGCACTAACCTGGCTCTCATCCCTCTTTCGAACCCTCTTCCTTCAGGCTCCTCGTTGCTCAGTCCCCTCTGTCTTTCCTTTAAGAGGCTAAGTTCACTCCTGCCTCTAGGCCTTCAGGCTCGTTCCCTCTGCCTGGTAAGCCATCCTTCCAAGTCCCTATGAGGCCTGCTCCTTCTGTCCTTCAGGTCCTTCCCCAAAATCAGGTGGCCAGAGCAGCCTCTGAGGACAACCTTGCCTGAAATGAGTCTTCAGCATCTGCGGTGCCCCTCCCCCTTCCCTTCCCCTGATCTACTTTTTTCACTTATTTTATCTTTGTTCAATTTTTAGTGATTGTTTTCATTTTCATTTAATTTTTTTAAAGACTGTATATTTATTTATTTATTTATTTTTAAATTTTTTTTAACGTTTTTATTTATTTTTGAGACAGAGAGAGACAGAGCATGAACGGGGGAGGGTCAGAGAGAGGGAGACACAGAATCTGAAACAGGCTCCAGGCTCTGAGCTGTCAGCACAGACCCCGACACGGGGCTTGAACTCACAGACCGCGAGATCATGACCTGAGCTGAAGTCGGCCGCTTAACCGACTGAGCCACCCAGGCGCCCCAAAGACTGTATATTTAGAGCAGTGCTAGGTTCACAGCAAAAGTTGAGAGGGTACATTAGTTCCAACTGATAAACCTACAGTGACACATCATAATCACCCAGTGTCCATAGTTTACATTAGGGCTCACTCCTGGTATTTTACATTCTATGGGTTTGGGCAAAGGTATAACAATATACATCCATCATTATAATATCAGACTGAGTAGTTTCCCTGCCCTAGAATACTCTGTGCTCCCCCTATCCATTTCCTCCCTGCCACCTACCCCTGGCAACCACTGATCTTTCTCCTGTCTCCATAGTTCTGCCTTTTCTAGGATGTCATGTCGTTGGCATCGTACAGTATGTGGCCTTTTCAGATTGACTTCTTTCACCTAGTAATATGCATTTAAGGTTCTTCCATGTCTTCTAGGGGCTTGTTACCTCATTTCTTTTTAGCACTCAATAACATTCCACTGCCTGGGTGGACCACAGTTCGCTTACCCATTCACCTACTGAAGGACATCTTGGTTGCTCTATTTTTCTTCATAACCATTCTTCACTACCTGAAATTATATTTTTTACCTCTTTGTTTACTTGCTGGTTTTTGGGGTCCCCCACTAGAAAGTAAGCTCTATGAAGTCAGGGACTTGATCTGCCCCAGTCATCACTGGGCCTGGAGCATCCAGAACTGTCTCTGCACAAAGTAGGCAGTAAGCACTTTTCACTGGTTGTGAGGACATGAATGGTGAGAGAGGCAGACTGAGCAGCTGGAGGTGCCAGTGTTGGCTAGGAGTTGGACGGCCTCCCTGGGAAGCTGCTTCTGTCCTGGGCCAGCCTGGGCAGGAAGAGGTAGAGAGAAAGTGGGTTGGAGAGCTGTCCCTTTACCCCTTTCAGACGATGAGTCCTGTTCAGGGTAGAAAAACGGCTCTCCTTTAACAAACAGGGTTTTCCTCCTTCACCTAGGCACTCTTAAATCTTAAATCTTCCTTATTCCAAGCAAAACTATGCAAGTGGCCCAAGTGTCCACTGATGGATGAACGGATAAAGAAAAAGTGGTAAAGGTGCACTTGGGTGGCTCAGTCGGTTAAACGTCCAACTCTTGATATTGGCTCAGGTCATTTTGGGCTCTGCACTGAGCACTGAGCCTGGAACCTGCCTGGGATTCTCTCTCTCCCTCTCTATCTGCCCCTCCCCTGCTCATGTTCCCTCTCTCTCAAAGTAAATAAACATTTTTTAAAACAATGATCTAGAGAATATAGTGCTAAGTGAAATAAGTCATTCAGAGAAAGACAAATACCATATGATTTCACTCATATGTGGAATTTAAGACACAAAACTGTAAACAAAGGAAAAAAGAGACAAATAAAAAACCAAACTCCATGGCAAATAAACTGATGGTTACCAGAGGGGAGGTGGGTGGGGAGAGGGTGAAAGAGGTGAAGGGGACTAAGAAGGGGATTTAAAAAACCTTTCATTCCAGATCGTGTTCTCCTAGCTACCTAGTAGGGGTGCTTCCATGTCAACCTTTGAATTCTCTTCATAGATCTCCTCTGACCTTTCTCCAGGGCCCATTTATTCCGGGAAACAAATTCCTCCTGGTAGTTACAGTCCTGTACCAGCCACGTACCCGACTCCTCACAGAGAATTTTGAGACTCCTCACCCATTTCCAGGGTGACCCCCACACCACTTTCAGCCCTTCATGAATTTGTTACATTTTATACCTGGAAAGGATAGTAAAGATATCGTAGTTTAATTCACCCACTTTATAGGTGAGAAAATGAAAACTGAAAAGAAGTGGCTTGGGGGCACCTGGCTGGCTCTGCTGGTAGAGCACGCCACTCTTAATGTCAAGGTTGTGAGTTGAAGCCCCACGTTAGGTGTGGAGATTACTTAAAAAAAAAAAAAAGTGGATTGTCCAAGAGCCAAATGGCTGATTAGCATATAACTCTGAACTAAACTTAGTCTCCAGATCTCCCAGCTGGTGGTCTCCCTCACCTTCTATTTATCCCCCATGTTGTAGTTCTGTAATTCCTTACCTGCTTGTCTTATTTTCTTTTTCTTTCTTTCTTTCTTTCTTTCTTTCTTTCTTTCTTTCTTTCTTTCTTTTTCTTTCCTTTCTTTTTTCTTAATATATTCACAGTATTGTACAATAATTACCACTATCAAAATTTAGAATATCAACCCCAAAAGAAACCCTATACCGATTAGCAGTCACTCTCCATTCTCTTCTGCCCCAGCTCCTGGCAACCAACAATCCACTTTCTGTCTCTGTCTAGTCTGGACATTTCATATAAATAGAATCATACAATATTATGACTGGTTTCTCTTACTCAGCATATTGTTTTCAAGGTACATCCATGTTGTAGCACGTATCAGCATTTCACTCCTTTTTGTGGCTGAATAATATTCCACTACATGGTTAAACCACATTTATTCATCCATTCACCAACTGATGGACATCTGGATTGTCTCTACTTTTTGGCTACTATGGATAATGCTGCTATGAACATTCATGTGCAGGTCTTTGTGTGGATGTATGTTTTCATTTTTCTTGAGTAGATTGCCTAGGATGGAACTGTTGAGTCATATGGTAACTTTATGTTTAACATTTTGAGGAACTGACAAATTGTTTTCCCAAATGGCCGAACCATTTTACATTCCCTCCAGCAATGTGTAAGTGTTCAAATTTCTCTGCAACCTCACTAGCAGTTATTATTATCTGCCTTTTTTATTTTAGCCATGTTGGTAGGTATGGAGTGATATCTCACTGTGGTTTTGATTTGTATTTCCTTAATGACTAATGATGCTGAGCATCTTTTCATGTGCTTATTAACCACTCATGTAAGTTCTTCAGAGAAATATCTATTCAAATCCTTTACCCATTTTTAAATTGAGTCTCTGTCTAATTATTGGGCAGCACACTTTTCTTTGCCTTTGAAATTACCCTGGAATCTTACTTTATTTGCCTATGGTTACTTTTCCAGGTCACCGAGGCCCTGGTGAATTTTATTTCCACTCAATCTCCTATCATTTTAAGAGGTGTAGGATCATATAATCATTGAATTAGACCCATAGAAGCCCAAATAAACATCTGGTGCAATGTTTGGGACACAGAAGAGCTCAGAAATATTTGCTGATTGTATGGAATGAATGAATACAGAGAATTCAACAAGAAAATCAGAGCTTTTATGAAGAAAGAAACCTTAGAAGTGACCTAACCTAGGATGACAAAAAAGCATGTACGCTGACCTTCTAAATTCCCTGGCCGTGGCAGACATCATTAATTGATCACAGCTGTGTTTTTAACTGATGTGTGGAGGAGGCTTCACAATCTTCAACACAGAGCCCTGGGCGGGCACTACCAATCAATCAGAGTGGATGTGAGAGAGAACAGTCATTTGCCATCACTCTCAGATTTTTAAACTGAGGCTCAGGGGCGCCTGGGTGGCTCACTTGGTTAAGCGTCCGACTTCACCTCAGGTCATGATCTCTCTAGTCCCCAGTTTGAGCCCCACATCTGGCTCTGTGCTGACAGCTCAGAGCCTGGAGCCTGCTTTGGGTTCCGTGTCTCTCTCTCTCTCTGTCCCTTCTCCACTTGTGCTTTGTCTCTTTCTCAAAAATAAGTAAACATTTAACTGAGGCTCGGGGAAATACTGTAAATGTGGCCTTTTCAAAACCCAGTCTGTCTGACTCCAATGCTAGCACTCCTTTCACCGTGCCCCACTAAAGCACTTTATCAGCTCCCAATACATGGTAATTCTAAATCTCCCATCTTTAGCTTGTCCCATCTTGGAATGGGTTCTTCATTGGGTTCCCCAGGCACTGGTTGGCAACACAATGCTGTTTCCTCTTGTTGGGACACACTCAACCCCAACCAGCCCTCCAGCCACCAAAATGGACTCCCGAGCAAGCCCCTGCCCCGACAAATGTCCAGTGATTCCTGCCTATCTGAGAATGTGCTTGCTGGGCGTGATTCTCGTTACAGTTCAGCTCTCTTGTCGGCTGGCCCTTTCCCTGCCTGTTGATCCTGGCACAAGGCCAGGTCTGACAAGTGCTAGCGAGGCATGGCCAGCCCTGCCTCCTCCGTGACACTGACCTCCAAGAGAGCACATGATGGTGGCTCAGCACATGCACCCTCAGGGTGCATAGGGGGAAGGCTGAGGCTGTCAGCAGGAAGCATGCCCCTGCCTTCTACCCTGCCCTCAATTTTTCCTGGGCCTTCACTTACCTTCTCCTTCATCTTCTCAATTTTCTTCACAGAGCTGCGGCGCTGGGGCCGGTCCTCGTGTCGGAGCAGGTTCATGCTGAGGTCGCCAGACTTGTTGAACTGCTTCTCCTCCTGCTTCTCGGCCTCCTTTAGCTTGCTTTCTGCACTGATGCTCTCTGCATGGTACATGTGGTAGGTTTTCATGACCTGGGGACACAGGAGAGCAGGAAATCAGCAGCACGCACGGCCCAGCATGCCATCCCTGTGCTCCCGGCCCCCTTCAGGTTCTGCGTGCCAGTAAGCTGTGCTGTACCCTCTTCCCACCACACACTTGGGCTCCTGGCCGTTCTTTACTTTTGCACAAACTTGGGGAACGATGATGGTCATCAGTGGCAGCTTCATCGCCATCATCATCATCACCAACTCATTAAGTCCTGACTGAATGCCAGGAATGGACGTGTAAAGAGGAAATTTAAGGGGCGCCTGAGTGGCTCAGTCAGTTAAGTGTCCGACTTCGGGTCAGGTCATGATCTCACAGTTCGTGGGTTTCAGCCCTGCACTGGGCTCTGTGCTGACAGCTCACAGCCTGGAGCCTGCTTCAGATTCTATATCTCCCTCTCTCTCTCCACACCTCCCCTGTTTGTGCTCTGTCTCTCTCTCTCTCTCTCTCCCTCTCAGAAATAAACATTTTTTTTAAAAAAGGGGGGAAATTGAAAACCCCCAAGTATTTGGGGGTCTCAGAGGTGATATGACAAACTTGGCCCTCCCTCAGCTGCCCTCTCTGGCCCTGCCAGCCATGACTCTTGTCCCTCACTCCCTCCCTCCTCCCAGTGTCACTGGGAAAGCCCCTCCTCAGGGGCTCAGGGAATGCCCATGGGAACACGCAAATCGTCTCCTCAGCTGTCTCCTTATTGGCCTGCAAATGGAAATGGTTCTGTCCCCAAAAGGGGCATCACTGGGTAACCTAATTGCTATTCTACACTTTCTGAAAGAAACTCATCCTTGGCTAAACAGTATACTCCCACAAAGCAAACTGCACTTTGCTCTTCTGCTTGCATAGTAGAAGTACATATTGTTATAGCAAGGGAATTTTTGAGACAGAAGAAATCCTAGACATCATCTAATCCAATCACTAAATTTTACAAATAAGGAAACTGAGGCCCCAGAGGGCAAAGTGGCTTTTCCAAGACTGAACAGTATTATCAGCGTAGTCTCCAAACTTTGCCTCCGTGTGGCCAACAGTACGATCAAGCTACAGAACACTTCCATTACACCACAGAGATCCCTCACACCCCTTTGCAGTAGGTGCCTACCCCTCCCCCGGCCCCAGACAATCACTGATTTCCTTTCTGTCACTGTCAGGGTTTTGTGTGTTCTAGAACTTCATATACATGGAAGCAACACATATAAATTCTTTGGGTTCCACCTTCTTTTGCTCAGCAGAATTTTTTTGAGATTCTCCCAGTTCTTTTTCATTGCTGAGTAGTTATTATTACATTGTATAGGTCTATCACTATTTGTGTATTTATTCATATGTTAGTAGTTACCTGGGTTGTGCACAGTTTTGGTCTATTATGAATAAAGCTGCTAAAAATGTTCATGTATAATTCTTTGTGTGGACATATGTTTTCATTTCACTCAGGTAAATATCTAGGAGTAGAATGTAGGGTCATATAGGAAGCATATGTTCAGCAAAATTAGAATTCTGGTCTCTTTACCCAAATGTCCACTGATGGATGAATGGATAAAGATGTGGTGTGTATACACACACACACACACACACACACACACACGCACACACACACACACACACACACACACACACACACACACAATGGAGTATTACTCAGCAATCAAAAAGAATGAAATCTTGCCATTTGCAACCACGTGGATGGAACTAGAGGGTATTATGCCAAGTGAAATTAGTCACAGAAAGACAAATATCATAGGACTGCACTCATATGAGGAATTTAAGATACAAAACAGATGAACATAAGGGAAGGGAAGCAAAAATAATACAGAAACAGGGAGGGGGACAAAACATAAGAGACTCTTAAAAGGGAGAACAGGGGGATACTGGAGGGGTTGTGGAAGGGGGGATGGGCTAAATGGGTAAGGGACATTAAGGCATCTACTCCTGAAATCATTGTTGCACTATATGCTAACTTGCATGTAAATTAAAAAATAAATTATTATAATTAATTAACTAACTAATTAATTTTAAAAAAGAATTCTGGCCTCTTTTAATCCACCACTCTTTCTACCATACCATACTGTTTTCATAATTTGTTACTATTTTCTCGGCAGGTGTGAAGAGTTTCGGCAGCCTTAAAACAAGTTGGGCAGTCCCATATCAACAGGACTTCATCTCCCAGTTGCACCTTTCCTGGATACTATCAAGTTTATGATCATATTTCTGTGCTAAGAAACACACGAACTTTCTGGAATCCATTGCTCCTGAGCTTTGCTTGTTCTCTTCTCTTGTCATTTGGATAATCATAGCAGCTAATAAAGCAGAGGCTTCTACCTGGGGAAGGAATACACTCCTGCCTAATGGGGCCGTTTAAATCAGAGAACTTGGACCAAACTCTTGCTCAACATTATAACCTTATTCCTTCTCATCTGAAGTCCTGTGAAGTGAGTTTATTAGATGAAGAATTCCTCTCTCTTACCATTAAATCACAGCATCAGTCTGTTGCACAGAAAGCCCCATTTGCCATCGGCCAGGAGTTAATGTGGGAAGTATCTGTTGTAGAACATAGTAGGTATTGTAGAGCATGAGCTCTGATACAAATGTCTGGTGCAAATGTCCTGATGGTGCCTCTTACCAGCTGTGTAACCTTGGGCAAGTCACGGAACCTCTCTGACCTCTACTTCCTCATTGTAAAATGGCGATGACCACGACACCTACCTCATAGATCGTTATGAAGACTAAGTGAGCTAACGTAGGTAAAGTGCTGAGAACAACAACTGCCACATGATAAGAGCCACATAGACATTAGCTGCTACCACCACCACCACCGTCATCATCACCCGTGATTTGGGCCGAGGGTTTGAGAACCTTGAATTTACTCATTTGAGTTCAGGAAAATGCTTACAAATTCTAAAGAACGTTAGGTATTGCACAAAATTTTATTCTCTTTTTCTTAAATATTTATCTATTTTTGAAAGAGAGAGAGTAAGCAGGGGAGGGGCAGAGAGAGAGAATCCCAAGCAGGCTCCATGCTGTCAGCGCAGAGCCCAACACAGGGCTTGAACTCACGAACCGTGAGATCATGACCTGAGCCAAAATCAAGAGTCGGACATTCAACTGACTGAGCCACCTAGGCACCCTGCAAAATTTTATTCTATACCATGTTTCTCCCTTCTTCTTTCATCTTGAAAACCTCCCCAAATGTCAAAACAATAAATGAATAAAAAATGCAATCAACTTTTCTTTATTGGTCTTGGTGGAAAGATCTCTTCTGTGCATTCCACCCATGTTTGCTTTTTTGAATTGCCCTAAAGCCTCTAGAGATGCTATTCTCAGTGATTTCTTCCACTCCTCATGCCAGTTCCACTAAACTTATTTCCAAACTCAATGGACCAGAAAGTGTGCCAGATCGATGTGTTCTCGACATCTAGTGGCCAAAAGGAACGACTGCAGGCTTCTAGAAAACCAAAGCAATTGTCTATTTTTCCACCATCTTTATGCCACAGCTCCGGCTCCAGGAATGTCATACATATAAGACTTGGGAATGCCTGCTGAAGTCTATCTCCAAGGGCCCCGCGTTTCCATTCTCAAAGTTTTTCTCTATTCCTCTGCATTCATGGGGACCACTGGTGTCTTTACTTTTCTACCATGCTGCTGGGGTGTTCATTTCTGGACTTACTCCCTTCTGGGTTCAATGATTCTTACAAAAGCCACTTTTTCTGTTTCAGCTGCTGAGGTCTGCTTGTCTCACCATTAATCTATCATCTGTGTTGAGTAGTTCAGAGGAAGAGAGAGCGTTTCTATTTGCAATTAGATCTTCCTGTCCAATCATCCATGCATCCATCCATCTATTCACTCAAGGTCAGCATCCCAGCTGGGTGTTCTCAGCCTCCCACATTTCCCTTTGCCTAGTTTTCCACTGAACCACTGAGTACTTTTCCTGCTCTACATCAAGCCAAACTTGCCAGCACAGTCTCTGAGCTGAGTTGCAAAAATCCCATGATTGGATAACACAGCCCGACAACCCTGGGACCAAACTCTCTGAATCCAACTGGTAATTCTTTATCCTAAGAATAACAGTGAACTTGGTTGCCCAGGATGACTTATGTCACACAGCTGCCACAAAAGAGTTTACCTGGGGACCTCTCGAAAATGAGTCTAACTATATCCAGAATCCTCTAGATGATGCCTTTATTTAATTACCTGAAATACAGGTTTTAGCATGAAATGTCCTTAGCTCAACAGAACAGTCTGCTCAATACAGCCAGTCCAGGATGTGCTAATTAATGTTTAAAATTATGAATTACTTCAGAGTTTGCAAACCTCTTTTTTTATTATCTCCAAGGAGCATTTCAATGAATCCTTATCCCAACCCTGGGAGGCAGTATGATAACAATAATGGTGACAGCAGCTAACATTTATTGAGCACTTACTTACATGCCTGGCCTTGTTCTAAGCACTGTACATATACAAACTCTCTTATTTCACACAAAAACTCTAGAAGGTAGACACCATATGATCCCTGCTTTATGGATACGGAAACCACAAAATAGGGATGAAAGCGTCCTCTTCCCCGCAGGGAAATCAGGAGACCTGGTTTGGAGACTCAACCCCAACTTGCTGGGTGACCTTGACAGAGGCTTGTCCCCTCTGGGCCACCTGGTGGAGACCAGAAAGGGGGTGGGTAGGAAAGTGTTCCATAAGTTGTAACAATAAAGTGACTGGCTGACAGCCCCAGTGTTGGGGGTGGGAAGGGAGCAGAGGTGGATGCAGGCATTCAGCTGAGGCCAAGGCACTGAGACCCAGTCTTCAACTTGGCACCTCTAAAGGACCCCTCAGAGGCACCCACCTAGCTTTCTGCCCAGCTTAATGGGACGTTCGTGTTCCAACCCTCTAGACCCAATCAGGGAAGCCCTGTGGAACAAGTCTAGCACAGGCTGAGAAGGAGCCTGTAAGGACATGTAAGTTGAGACCATTGTTCTTGGACACAGATCAGTTTCATATATTCTCAAAA